CAGCCCATATTAGTCTTTCTGTCATTTCTCCCCTGTGTTGGAATTGGCTCTGGTGTGTCTGTGATCACTGCTTGTATGCAGCCTTACCCTGCTTTTCTCTCAACTCTGCAGTGCAGCTCTACCACTTGGGTGAACTGATGCTTCAGAACTAACAGTTCTTCAGCCAGCACAGGGACACATATTGAGGAAGAGTTTGTCTGGGAACTTCCTAGAGCATTACAAAGGTTCATAGCTTTTCAGTCCCATAGTCAGGCACTGACCTGCACTGTTCTTTTGCCTTTAGTGACATTTGCACAGACGTGTTGGCCATAGCAAGAGATGACTCTCACTTTCAGCTGCGGAGTAGACCATCCAAGGTAACTCTGTTCCCCTGCCTGTGTCCTGTATTACTGCATCCCCCAAAACAGCTCTCTTGGAGGTGACTCTGTGGTATAAGGTATGTGAGATGAAAAACTGCTGTGCTTGCTGTCACTCAGAACAGTGGTGCTATAACCATTACCTCTTCTGATGTGCAGCACAGTAAATATGGGGCTGCCATTGCTGGGGGATTCTGACAGTTCTGGTAATGGTGACTCCTGTGTTTGGGCTGGAATTTCATAGTTGCACAAACATAAGTGTTCTCCGTGGCTCCTGACTCATATAAGGACACTTCATCCTAGCTTGGGAGCAAGTTAAAGTGAAAGAATAATACCATGGAAAAGGCAGTACTGGAAAAAAGATGTGTACAAACACATTTGCTGTAAGGTTAAAATATAATCTTCTGCAAATGAAACCAGTCCTTTATTACTCGGTGTGGAATTTTGCCTGCTTTTCTTGGATTCTGTAATTTATTGTGTCTCATTAAACAACTTAGATCAGGAGAATTAATCCTTGAATAACCTAATGTCTGAGAGGTGAGTAGGTAGTGTGACCTTTATCTCATGCTGGACCTTTGTGTTTAGAAGTGTCTATAGAATTTTTTGATACCCACAATGCCTTGACTCGCTGTGCTTGAGAGACTGATCTTGAGGCAGAGCTGTAATGACCAATCAGTCCAGTCACAAAGGGTGACACTGTGGCCTGGCCCTTTGCCAGCAAAATAACCATTACGGTCAGTCTATGCAAAGTTCGACTGCAGTGTGGATGCACAGTGGACACAGAGTTTATCAGAATGGACCTGATTTATCTGTAGATAGCACAAGTGCATAAAAAAGTCCATCCTTGGAAAAAGAAAGCCACCAAGCTGAGTTGTGGGCCAGATGGATATCTGCTACGCTACCCCTTTGGAAAAAATAAAAAAGAAAAAGATTAAGTTTTGACAAAAAAAAAAATGGCTCAGTGACAAAGACATCATAACATAGAACACCGTGGTAAACTATTGTCCTTCAATGTTTAAAATATGCATCTTTTTTCAAAACCGAATTCATCTATGTTTTTCTGGATACTTGATTTAGTTATAATTTCCACCATCAGAGAGCTGTATTTTGAATATATATATTTTTTCTAGATACTTGCTAGCACCTGATGCATTTTTAACAACTACACATAAACACAGTATGATCCAGACGTGTGTCAATAAAAGCTATATTTTCCTCCTTTAAGGAAGGAGAAAAATTTCAAAGTTTTCGATACTCTTCTTGAAAAGTATTTGTCAGAACTAGGCAGTGCATATGACCAGTGACTTCATCAAAGCCTTAGCTTGATGAGCATAAATAATCCTTATCCTTTAAGACTTTTGCAATTAGAATAACTGGAAGAGAAACGTGCTACTGAAATATGGCAGTGTAATGAACCTCATAGAGAAATGTGCTGAAGCATTTTCATGACCTGTGCTCCCATCAGTCACTTCCATTTACAGTGTATACAGTCTGGAGTCCTCCCGGTGCAGGTGGCTAGATAAGCATGCCTTCTCCGAAAATGGATTTAGGAGGGAGTAAAAGTGGTGTTCATTTCTTGTATAGCAGTCAAGAGAAAGGGCAGCGGCCATCCTCTTAGATGTCACTTTGCTGGAATAGGAAAGAAGAAAAGCAAGTGAAGGGAGTGTCACTACCTCAGAAGTTAGTCTACTTAGTGGGAGGGGAAGGAAAACAGGGCAGGTTTTGATATCCAGTAACTTCTCAGTGAAAAGATTCCCCAGTGAAACTCTTTTGGTTAAGTTTCACTGTTTCAAAAATGTGCCCAAAATAGTAATTGAAGTTTCCCATCTTGTAACCAAAGATGCAATAGTTTCAGTGGAACAAGTCACATGCTGGAGTTGTATAGCATGAGAATTGCAAGACAGTTTTATACTTATATTATTGTTTATTTATATTAAATTATTATCTGCAAGGCAGAAGTGAGAAAATCATTTGGGGATTTTGTGTTGTGGCTTTTACTTTCAAAGCATTGAATGAGAAGGGCACTTGTTAATGATGAAATGTCGATACGTACATTCAATTAACAACCTGGTAAGGTGAAGCATGAAACCTTTCTCCTTGTTTTTTCTTATTAATGCATAAACTCATCAAGATGCACTGAGCCTGAGGAAGAAGGCAGAGTCTGCTCTGAGGGATTTGCAGTGCTGACACCTCTTCCTTTGATGGTTCATATTTGTTCATCAAATGGGGAAACAATATCTCCCTGTATCAGAGATATTATCTGCATTAGTCATCAGTACATGCAGAAAGTGTTGGTACAGTCAGACCATCAGTAGAGGATCTTTAATGGAAATTTTGGGGAGAGTTAGTTTCTTTACATTGGCTCTGTGAGGCGAGTGTTAACTTCCTCTGAATTCAAATTTAGCAGTGATAATCTGATCTCTAATATATGTTGATCCCAGCCTCATTTTGATCTATGTTTTGGTTTTCTCTGCTGTACATCAGTCCAGTGATGACAGCACTCACAAACTGTAGAATACAACCCAAAGAATTATTGGTTATTTCTGCAGGAAAGGTCTGGACAGCAAAACATCTTCCTGTGCAGAGAGCCACCAGCTCCCTCTGAATGGCTTTTGCTGCAGGTCCAGTGTCCTGGATGGCTCTTGCTCTGCCCAGCTGAATAAGGCTGCTCCTGGTCAGCGGAGAGATTTAGCCGGTACCGTCCCAGTCCTGGGTCAGTGCTCCTGCGGTATCTCCGTACAGCCTGCACTGTGCTGTGCAGACATACTCTGCTGATCCAGCTGTCAATGCTGATGCTGATTTAGGGACAAGGGATCAACTCTTGCATATTAAGCCCAGAGGCTCACTTCTACATTTGTGGCTCTGACTGACTTGCATGAACCTGACTGAGTTACTCATGCTCTGCCCGGAGAAACTGGTCTGATTCTATTGAGGTTGAAATGTCCTTTCTTCTTTTTAAATTGATATTGTTTGCCATGTTTCCAGGTTTGGTCACTCTTGCAGCAGGTAATTTATGCAGTTCAGAGCGATGTATTTTTTATTTTTGCTGAATCAAAATTTCCTAAGGAAACCTTTCATTTGAAGTCAAATGAAAAATTCTAAGATATTTTTCCTTTGTTTCTATAGGGTTTTCTTTTTTATTATAATTTTACTACATCCTATTACAGTATAATTATTTTTAGAAATGTTTCTTTTGGTAAGCTTTCGCCCCCCTAAAAATAATTCACTGAAATGGGATTGTTTTTCTTCATTGCTGTAATTTCATAATACTATAGGCAAGTCACTTCCATTACCTTGTTCCTCCTTACGCCAAACAAGGGTAATATCCCACAGCTGAGAATATGATGAGCCTTAATTTATTGATAGCTGTAGCATGTTTCAGAAATGTGTCATATTCCCAGGAATATTCTCAATTGCACAGATCTGCGGGGGAATATTCAGAGTTAACACTAAAAGACACTAAAGAAGAGCATAATTTTGTGTTGACAAAAAAGGCTAAGTGCATGGCACTGCCTGCCAATGCTTTAATTTCACAAATCCTTGTCTGGAGACTTTTCTAGTTCTAAATTTCTGAAGGATGACTAGGATTTTAGCTGACTGACTTCTATTTGACTTTAAAGGGAGATGTGGATTTTAAAACCGTGCAATATTTTGAAAAGTTCCTCATAATGTCCAGACTAGCATTATATTAAATCTGTCCTTGGCAATGGCAAATGATGTTATTAATATTCAGTTGTTGCAAGATGGATTCAAACAAGGGGAGGGTGGGGGGAGTTCTATGGCATGGCTCTTGGTTGTTAAGAAAGTAATAAACCCTCCTTGTCTCTGATTTTATGACGGACAATAACCATTAACTGATCAACAGAAGGAATGTCAGGTGTGGAATCAATGCTGATAGAAAAATATTTCATCTGTTTACATTTACGAAGGATCACTGATAAAACCTTTGATCCCATTAAGGATATAAACTCTTCACATATAGTCGATGACAAGTCTGATGAGCTAGCTGAGCTCCACCAGCCTCACTGTGCTTAGTGAATGTTCAGCTAAAAAGGGATCAAATTGACTCATGAATTTCAAGATTCCTAGGAAATTACCATTGTGAGGTGACCCAGTTTTTTGATTAGTGTCATGAAAAGACAGGTCTCACTGAGAAATAAACGTAATAATGTCAACCATGTGCTTAAGTTCTTCTCTCCGTTATACACATTCGCTTTCAAATTGTTTTGTCATTTTAGCATAAACTGTACCACTTGCTTTCATCTGAGAAACACAAGCTTAGCATAGTTCTGTGCAGAAATCAAAGATGAGCATGGAAAAAAGGCCCCTCTTTGCCTATTGAATCATTGATCAGACAAGCACAGGAGATATTTGCATGGATCCTTAGTAGTTAGGTCTCAGTAGCTGCCTTAGATAATTGTTGGAAGGAAAAGAAGAAAAGAGCATCAAACTTAGATATTTCATCCATCTGTTTTTCCAATAATGGCAGGCCTTACAGGTTGCCCTCTCGCATCTATCCTTCTTCAAGCACAAAGGAGTAACCTGATAATGGTGTTGTTACTGTTAAGCCCTTTGAAGCATTGACTTTAAATCAGGAACAAGAGGTCATGAAATAGACTGCCTTTCCTTGTTAACAGATGTTGAGGTGGAATTATCTGGCCAGGCCAGGAGGATATTGAGGAGGAGAGGGCGAAGGAAAGCAAAGGTTCAGAAGTGCCATCAAAACTGAATTGCGGTAGGACTGATTTCACACTGTATTATTCTCTCCTCAGAAAGCCATTTGACTGAATTTGAAAATACATGTGCAAATACTATGAACTGTAAAAGTTTTAGAAAGTTTTCACAGGGATTAGGCTATGGTCAGTCCCTGTCTGTTAGTTGGAACTATAGTGTTGCCACTTTCCTATGTCGCTGAGGGCTCATCCATCCCATTCAGTTTTTTGGGATGTGTCCATCCCTATCTCGATTTCTTATCCTGTATCTCTGACACTTTTGCTCATCTCTTTCAGTGTTTCCAGCTCATTCTGTTCTCTTTTCTCTGTTCCAGTCTTCCTGTACAGGTGCATGGAACTTTCTGTGCAGCAGAGGCCCACATCACAACCAAAGCATGTGAGGATAACTGCCTCTACAAGAAGAACATGAGCTCTTTTCCCTCCTCACTGATCATCCTGTGTGCTCCCCTCAGGACTCATGACAGTTCAGTGGAGAAGAGCTCGTGAGTATGGCCAGCAAAGCAAAGGAGATTTACTTGAGAAAGAGCTAGGTGAGAAAGTCATCCTTGCTTGTGGGCTTATGATCCTCACAAATAGCTTTAGTACAAAAGCAGAAGCAACACAGTTTTCTGTTAAGAAGTCTAGATGGTCAGATGAGTTTAAAAAAGAGGAAGGAAATCTCTCTAGGTCGGATAAGTGAAAACAAAGCGGGGACATAGTAATGTACAATCACAGCTCTTCCTCAGTGTGGCAGCAGCATCTGTTAAAAAATGCAGGACACTTAAACCTGTCGAGAAACTCTGAAACCCAGGTTGAGCTGCAAACCTGGGCTGTATCAAAGAGGTGATGGCTTCAGTCAGTTGAGATAAAGTTTCCTACTAAGTGCTGAAGTACCAGTGGCTGTGCACTCTGGTTTCTTTCCCTTCTTTCTTTCCTCTGCTTTTTCTGCAGTGCTTCCCAGCTATGTTAAAACTAATGCTTGGTTCTCTTGGGTGCCGTTGACTTTGATCGGTGTTATAAGCCACCTGGTGATGGGCTGCAGTAGAAAAAGCAGTTGCCACTGGAGGTGAACACAAGGTGAGCTAAAAACTGAACAAAAATATGGCATTGTTCTTTTTAAACTGCAAATTCAAGTCAAAGGTGTGAACACCATAACCTTCAAATAATAAATGTGCAGACAAATCTTTCAGATGCACTCTGAGAGCTATTTTGGAAGACATAACTACAAGCCTCTTGAGTTAGATGTAGTGATTGCATAGATGTGGGCTGCCCCAGCAAAATGTCTTTTCATAACCAAGGCAGAGGATTTTGTTAAGAGAGCATTCATTAAGTTATCTTTTCGCTGCCTCTGTTAGTTAATTTTGCTTTTTGAGGCTCTCCTAATGTCTCAGCTCAAAGGAGAGTACATCAAGAAGAATTTTCAGTTCTTCCTATGGAATGTACTTTTGGTGGACGTTTTCTCTCTTTATTTGAACAGAAATTAAGAAGCTCATTTCTGTCTGGTATAAGTTGGGTGGCAGAGGTTAAGTTGGGAGAGAAGGAACTCCAAAGGAAACAACACCCTCTTCATAATAACCATTAGCCAAAGAGGCTCAGCTATTACTGGTACAAAGAATCTCAGCTGGTTAAACTGCCTGCATTTCTCTCTGAAGTTAACAGTAGAATAGCCAAGTAGAATTCATTCCCCAGATGTTACAAGTGCTCTGAAATATGTTTGAAACTATCTAAATACTTTACACTTCTTATAAATTCATATCTTGATCCCAGAAGAGGATCCAGTGTGCTCACCATGGACTAATAAACATTTAGAAAAGTTAAATTACTTAGAGATATTTAAGTATCACACAAATATGTGTAAAGTGTAGACACTCTCCAGCATAAAACCGAACCTGCAAAGATCTTTGTCTATTTAATTGCATTTTGGTTCACCCATTTAATAAAGAGGATTATTTTTTAACCTCTCCAGTTCCAAACAGAACTTCAGATTCTATTACAACAGAGTGGAGTAAGAGAAAGCTTAAACCAAGGGCATTTAGTCACCTGCAGAGTGAGAGAGATTGAAAAGGAAAATGGATTTACTGCCTTCCATATCAGTTTGCAGGCAATTTGTGTTTGAATTCCTCTTAAATCAATTTCTGCATAATATTAGTGATCTGAAATGATGCAAAATGGTATTGGAGCACAGCCTCCTTTTGCAACACAGAGAAATTCTCTCCTTGAGTCCTTGTTATTCTTCTAGTCATCTGTTTTCCTTTCATTTATTCTTTCATGATGTGCTGTGCCTTCTGACGAGTGAAACGTGAACGGGAAGTGGGAAGGAGCAAGCTTTGTCTCCACTGCCAGTGCGCTTCATACATTTGTGAAGAAGCAGACCTGCATCAGAAAACCAACCGAAAGCCACGGAGTTACCTCTCTAAAAAATGTAATGGACTGTACTGAAAGCCTAACTTTGACTGATGTGAGGTTTGGGACTTTATCCAGGTAAGAATTCATGCAGCAATGAGCACAGATAAGGCAGATGACCCAGAGTAGGGCCAAACTGTTTACCAGCAGATGTGTTTTTGAAAATCTTCCTTAACTGGTCATGGCAGCGGAAAATACCCTGCTGTTAAACGCATCTGCAATCCGCTGCGCTCCCAATCCACCTACAAAAATTCTGACCTTTAAAGAAATGATGGAGAAGCTGGTGATTTTTTCCATGGCATTGAAGCTCAGTCTATTTTAGGCTCCAAGGCAATTGCAGCCCTTTTTGCTCCCTATTTCACATCACTTTTAAGTCTTGTTCTGGCCACTATGAACCCTTCAGCACTTCTCCCTGTGCAATCACTCGAGTCAAGATCTGTGATTTGTGATTTGCAGATGACATGTACATTTCTTGGCTGATGGCTGTTAAAGCAGTTTGCAAACCTAAGGCAATAAAGTGCAGGGATGCAGTTGGAGCTTTCTATTGCCACACTAAATTGCCATTCTCATGCAAATGAATAACAAGTTTCTCTAAGATTGAAAATGAAATGTTATAAATTTCTGCATTAATATTTTAAGGAAATGATTTTGTCCGTTACCACTATATACCTTCAGTAGAACATCATATTTAACTAGTCTGTGTATCAAAAACAGTGATGCAACTTGCTGTATAGAAAAAGAAAAAATGAGCTGTTTCTGCATTCATCAAATCTAGGTCCTTTAATCCCCTCAGTGTGGAAATCAATTTATTACTGCGCTGTAGAACACAGTAACAGTTCATAAAGTGTTAACACAATTATTTATACATTTCTGATCATCTTTCATTTAAATATTTATAAAATACATACTGGGAAGTTTGTACCTTTTAGAAAACTCGGTTTCTATGTCATTTTCTTAAAATATTCACTTCTCTAAAAGATATCTAAAAAGAAAACCTGCTGGATTTTGTTTTAAGTGACACTATAAATGTACAAACAAAATGTAATCTTAAACAGAAAATAATATGATTACCATCAGAAGGATTTCTGTGGTTTGTTGTTCAGAGAGCAGGAAACACAAAATCATTGTTTCAAACACTCAGTCCTGGCTTGCAAAAAACCAAATGTATTGAAGTGCCTCAGTCTTAATGTGCATCCTAAAGTCTACATATTGTATAAATTCCTAATCCTGTCAAAATGTAAGTCTGAAGATTAGCAGAATGTATAATAAATGATTTCATGTCATTACACATAAAAATAGTATTGCTAAATCAAGTGTGGCCCTTTATAAATGTAAAAAAGCCCAACTTAAGTAGATTTGTGCTTTATAATTCTATAGCTCTGAGGAGAAAAAAGCAAGGTTGACTAAAACAGATTTCCCATTTCTCTGATATAAATCAGTTTGTCTTCACACACATGCAAAAAGACACTGGCATAGATTTCTTTAGCAAATAACTTAATATTTATTGAGATTTCTTGTACATTTAATTATTAATGTCAGCAGTGTTACAGTATTTCTATGAGGTTGCTCTTACTGACCCTGTACCTGTTGGGTTTTTCCCCCCCCTCATATTATTTCCTCCACAAGCATGAAGACGTAACACTTACCAATTATTTTGTGTGACAGAGTCAAAAAGACTTATGGTCACTAGGTCTCTTATTTTCAGCATTTTAGGCCTTGACTGACTGTTGTCCTACAAAATACTGCTTATTTTAGTCATGTTATAGTTAGTTCATTTGGTACATTAATGATAAACATTTTCAGAACTACCTTTTCTCAGTGTATTAAAATGAGTCTTGTAGAAATGTTCAGTGAAGCCAGAAGAAAATGTAAACCACGTGTACAGTTCTTTGTTCATCAGTAGATATAACCTAGACACAGTAGTGGTACTGTTACAAGGTGTGGTGGTTTGGACTGTTAAGGTAGAATATTACAGGCACCTATACAAAAGATCTTTTATTATATTTATCCTTTCCCCTTAATGAGATAAAATAACTAGAATAACAGAAAAAGGTCAAATTACAAACTTGTTCTGTTGTATATATATTATAAATCTGAGGAATGTTAGAAATAATGCATGAACACCTTCCTCTTACTGAGTTGTGACACTTTTGCATGATTTAAAATGGAAAATAAGTCAATAATCATCATGTTGGTGGAAAAATTGTTTTTAGATGATCTTTTTCCTCCTGCACCTTTTAAAAGCCAGACAACCAGAGAACTCAGAGTGACTGAAGTCAGTAGACAGCTGCAAGATGCAACACAATTGAGCTCAGTAGTAAAACTCTCACCGACTTCAATAGAGGCAAATTTCTCCCCAACATTTTCAAAGGTGCCTGGAGGGTGTGCATCACCAACTTAAGGAATTTTAAGGAGATATTTCACGCTGATTGAAAATCATATTTTTGAGATATTTCTTACCCAGACTCTGAGATGTAAAAATAGCTCTTATAACGAGCACTAAAATAGGGCATCTCCTGTTTCTTAATGATGAAAATAGCTCTGATACACCTTTTGTGATCAACTGGCATGTTGGACCAGTTTTGCACATACTTAAGTGTACTGATCCAGATTCTGAGGGTCTGATATGCACAGCAACCCTCCAGTCATCAAGGACAGCAGGAGTTCTGCTAGAGTCAAACCCTCAGGACTAGACATAGAATCTACTCATAGGCTCATTATTTCTTTCACTTGAAGAACTAAAAATGACCAAAAGAACTGACTATAATTTATAGAAGGAAATTAAATGTCCTGGTAATCTAAGTCTTCAATTAAATCGGGAGCATATCGAGCATTGACTGTCTTGGACAGAGACTATTAACACATTTATTGGGCAAGACTGTCTCCGGGTCTGACACATATAGGCACTGGGAGAGGGAGTACTGAAGGCTGAGTTTAAAACCACAACACTGTAATCTGTCATTATTTTCTCTCTTTTTAAATTCACTAGTAGACTCAAGAGTCAGGTCTCTTCCTTTGTGCATGCCAAGGAGCTTCTTCCTAATGCCGGTTTTGGGGAAGGAACACATCTGCTTCTCATCTGCTGTCTGGGAACAAAAGCACGAACCAGCCCGATACCCTCCCTCACACACACCTCTCCAAAGATCCCCAGACCCTCCATGCACAGAACAGCACAACTCCAGCAATTCAGAGGGCAGAAGAAGTTGAATCCCTAACTTGTAGAAATCCATTTTCAGCCCTTCTTCCACACTGCTGGCAGTGGGTGTTATACACTATTTCCTACAGTGCAAAGGGAGGCAAAGAGTAGGGTATAGGACTGGTATGCTTGGTACAGGTAACACTATACTACTCCATAATTTGTTATCCCAGGAACTTGTTATCCCAGGAATTCCTTGTGTTTCAAATTGTGGTGTGGCTGTGGGAGCTGTGTGGTGCTCTTGAACAGGTGTTCAGCAAGAAAAGAAAAACACGTGTGTATCAACCTATACTCCTGGTCAGCTTCAGACAGTTGATTCTTTTTGTACCTCCAGTGAACAAGTTGTCAGGGAGCTTAAATGAGCTTGTGAGAGGGATCCAGATCTTAAAGTAAATATGTCACCTATGCTTTATCAGGGAAATAGGCAGGAGAATCCCCAGTGCCCCAGTTTCTGTTCCTTTAAGAAGGCCAACCTCTTTGGAAAAGGATCCAATG